TCCTTGTAAACATAAACGTTGCAGACCGCTTCAGATGGAAATGTGACAAAGGCTAGCAGTGAAATGAGGGCAAAGTTGCACAAATGACAAACCTGTGGATTGGAGATAGAGATCAAACACACCTTGGTCAAATAGAAGGAGGTGCCGCAATGAAACTGAACCAGGAAATGCAGATGCAAAAGAATAAAAAGGTCATTTTAGTGTGACAGAAAAGGCTGAAATGCTTTACGGTTGTGTTGAAGTTAGAAACATCCACCAGCGGTTCATCGGTTCTTTTGAAACGAGCCCAACATTTATATGGACTGGCTGGTGCCACCACCTGACCTCACTTTAAAGATATTACTTTACACAACAGGTTCATTCACAAGTCAAATAACCTGCCCAGCCATGGGGCCACAAACTCCAACGTGCACAGGAAACCACACACCCTGAATAAAAGACGGAAAATATTTGCACCTAATCAGAGTTTTACATGATTTTAGTGTGTTAGTCTTCAAATCACAAAGAAACTAAAATCATGAGATCCTCAACCAAAATTTCACAAAGTAAGAAAGAAAATACTTTAGTCCCTCGCTACTTCGCAGTTCGTTTATCGCGGACTCGCTCTATCGCAGTTTTTCCAAAATAACATTGGACATGACACACAACTGGCTGATTGATGGATGAGCCGCACGATCAGCATGGAATTTTTATTAAAAATAAATTTTAAATTATTTAGCACCTGCAGCACCTCTGTGCAGCCCACAATGAAGGAGAAGCTTCCTCCTGCAGCTGATCAGTTGTTCTCGGTGCAGAGTGGAGAAGTGGGCGTGGCCAAGAACGCCTGCAGGTGACTGAGAGCAGCAGAGGTCACCCGCTTCGAATGTTATCAGCCATCAAATGGCCTATTATCAGTTGTTATCATCCCCATATATAGCGTTCAGACTGATAACGTCCGAAGCCGCTGCGGAGGCAGAGAGCTGAAATCATGACATTTTGTGTTCGTTTAGAGCGTTTAGAAACATTGCTTAGAATATTAGAATATTGCAAAAGTGTGGGAAGGGTTTTAAACACCTTGTGTTTGTGTTTATGTATATATATATATATATATATATTTTTCTATATTTATATTGATCTTGACATACAACTGGCTGATTGATGGATGAGCCGCACGATCAGCATGGAAT